CTCAAATAAAAGCCTGGTCTCAAATAAAAGCCTGGTCTGTTAAGTGACTGAAACAAATAAACTCCTCGGTTATAATTTGGTATTTTATGGTACATGACAAACAACAAAATACAGAACACACAACATGACAGATTTAATGCCAGGAGGAGACAGACACAGAAAAAGAAAAAACCTTAAAGAGTGACACTGTTCCACTGTACAAAACTATTCACAGATCTACAACTTTCATTTGTTTACACTTTTACAAACAGTGGATAGGTAGCTTAATTAAAACAGGAAAAAACAAAGAGGTACAAGAGAATTTATATTTGTGAATATAAAATCTGCCAAATATAAGTTAATTGCAAATTTATTTATTTATTTATTTTTTTTTTTAGTGTAAATTCTTGTTTTGGTAATTGTGAATTTCCAGAAAAGATGACTCATTGTTTCGGGATATTCTTTACAAAAAGTGCAGTTAGGGTGAATAGGTTTAACATATTTTAGTTTAAATTTATTAGTTGGTTACTTTATTCTAAACTGCGACTGCGAGAATCACAGAAACTCTCACGCGACACAAACGATTTCACGCATGACCATAAATTTGGCTTTAGGCTGAATTCTTCTCACAAACTGAAAACACTCTGTTCCACATTGTGATGTCATGTGGTGATACAGGAAGTGCTCCACTGTGTTTTTAAACTCCATACCCCTTCACTAGAATCATCTGGATCATTTCAGTCCTGGAGTTGCCGATTTCTACTGACTTTAGGGGTGTATAAAAATATTGAAATATCGATATATCGCATGGTTTAATGTGATGATACAGTGTGGATATCGTGGGCTGCTGTATCGATCCATCACCAAGAGGATTTTTAGGCATATTTTACTAAATTATTTTGTGTAAGAACTCTGCTCCTTTCAAGTTTGTGTAAAATAGAACCTTTAATATGTTGATGACTTTAAACAAATGAAAAAAAACTCACTTGTCATGGATGGTTTCTGGAGCGACGCTGAAATTCAACTGCTCCTGAAAAACATGAAAAACATGAAAACACATTAATCCTGTGCGTCATCTCCTCCGTCCTGCACACTCAGACCATAAAAGGACAGTCTCCGCTGGAGTGGACATAATTTCTCCTTTTCAGAGATTCCAAAGTGTTCAGTGAAGCTCGTGCGGCCGTGTGAGTGCGAGTCCTTTTGTGTGTGGAGTTTGCATGTTCTTCCCGTGTCTCGTCTGCATTAGAAGGTTGTGGGTTCAGATCCAGCTGCAAACTCTGGAACAGTTTTAATCCTGATGCCGTTGAGCAGATCAGTTCTGTCATGTAGCTCTGACACTGAGGCACTTTACTAAATCTCACCAACTTGGAGCGCACTTTAAGAAACAGGAGCAGGTGGAGGATGTTTTTAAAGATTCTATTTGACATACGACCATCTAGAAAACTTTAAAAACATAATTCACAATCAGTACAGTCTAAAAAAATGAACTGCCATGGAGAATAACAAATTACTGGAACGGGAAATGGAAAACTTGCTCCTGGTATTAGGGATATAGTAATAATAATCATCTTTATTGTCATTGTTTATTTCTTGTCTTCTTTATTTGAATGTGGTTTGAGCCTTTTGTTGAGTTGCTTTTATACCTTTTTAGTTTTTAATAGTATTATTATTAATGTTATTTTTATTTCTGTTATTATTATCATTAATTCTTTCCTCGTGGATGTGTATTAAGTCTGAGTGTGTTTGGATGTGAAGTGTGAAGTCTGACGTCCTTGGGTTCGTCAATAATTAATACATTTCTATAAATATTTGACATACGATATTTTAAACTATTTATTTTTATTATTATTTGTGCTGCTGATGACCTGGACCTGATCTATTTTTAAAAAAATAACAAATAAATCCTGGTGGTGCTTGTTCTTGCTGTGTCCTGTGGCGGCTGTGTCCTGTGGGGGCTGTGTCCTGTGGGGCTGTGTCCTGTGCTGTGTCTGTGTCCTGTGGGGCTGTGTCCTGTGGGGGCTGTGTCCTGTGGGGGCTGTGTCCTGTGGGGGCTGTGTCCTGTGGCTGTGTCCTGTGTGGCCTGTGGGCTGGCCTGTGGGGCCTGTGGTGGCGGCTGTGTCCTGTGGGGGCTGTGTCCTGTGGCGGCTGTGTCCTGTGGGGGGTGTGTCTGTGGGGCTGTGTCCTGTGGGGCTGTGTGTGGGGCTGTGTCCTGTGGGGGCTGTGTCCTGTGGGGCTGTGTCCTGTGGGGGCTTGTGTCCTGTGGGGGCTGTGTCCTGTGGGGGCTGTGTCCTGTGGGGCTGTGTCCTGTGGGGCTGTGTCCTGTGGGGGCTGTGTCCTGTGGCGGGCTGTGTCCTGTGGGGCTGTGTCCTGTGGTGGGGGCTGTGTCCTGTGGGGCTGTGTCCTGTGGCGGCTGTGTCCTGTGGGGGCTGTGTCCTGTGGCTGTGTGGGGGCTGTGTCCTGTGGGGGCTGTGTCCTGTGGCTGTGGTGGCTGTGTGTCCTGTGGCGGCTGTGTGGGGGCTGTGGCCTGTGGGGGCGCTGTGGGGCTGTGTCCTGTGGGGGCTGTGTCCTGTGGGGGCTGTGTCTGGGGGCTGTGGGGCTGTGTCCTGTGGCGGCTGTGTCCTGTGGCGGCTGTGTCCTGTGGGTGGGGGTCTGCGGCGGCGTCGGAGCGTGACTGGATTAAGCCTCATTACGGGTCTGGACTGGGAGCTGTTTACGCTCAGACGGGAGCAGCTGGTGCAGGACGGACACACGGAAACTGTCCCTGCGTGTCCCGGTGTTTAACTTCTGAGAGGAGAAAAATCAGCACCGTTCAGCAACCGCAATTCAAAAAGCTGATTTTTATTTTTTTTTCCCATAATGCCAGTTTTACTAACGTAAGAGTTTAATCTAGTCTGGATCAAAAGATCAATTCCCAGTGATTAGAATTTACTGAATGTCTCTCCCACTCTTCACTAGGGATGTGCAAAAATACTGAAATATCGATATTTTACTAGATTATTTTGTGTAAGAGCTACAGTTGGGTTAACATTTCCACTGTTTTGAGTAAAATGAGTGTTTTTCATATTAACCAACACAAATTCAGTAGTTAATGTTGTAGTGAAGACCACACTGATAGACCATGAGACCAAGACCAGTCCAAGTCCACAGGATCCCGAAACTGAGGCAAGACCGGGACCACAGCCCATCGAGACCAAATCAAGATAATCTTTGTCATTTTCGACATTTATTTGCATTATAAAGCTATTCTGGCGCATTTATATCAATGTTTTTATAAATCGAGCTTCATTCTTTCCGATTATTGTTCATTTAGGCTTAAAATAATCCAAGCAAACTGCGTCTGTTTTTTTGGAGCCTCACCCACAGTTTGAGAAGCTCTTCTTTAACAGAACTTCCACTGGAACTGAACACAAAACTGAACAAAGTGAAGAAAGTGGGCTGGATTTTTAAACCTGTTTTCCTCATTTTCAACAGCAGCGGCCGTAATGAAATATGATCACACATGTCAAGTGTCAGACCTCGAGTCCAAGACAAGACCGAGTCCAAGTGCCTTAAAGACCGAGACGAGACCGAGTCCAAGCGCCTTAAAGACCGAGACGAGACCGAGTCCAAGCGCCTTAAAGACCGAGGCGAGACCGAGTCCAAGAGCTTTAAAGACCGAGGCGAGACCGAGTCCAAGCGCCTTAAAGACCGAGACGAGACCGAGACCGAGTCCAAGCGCCTTAAAGACCGAGACGAGACCGAGTCCAAGCGCCTTAAAGACCGAGACGAGACCGAGTCCAAGCGCCTTAAAGACCGAGACAAGACCGAGTCCAAGCGCCTTAAAGACCGAGACGAGACCGAGTCCAAGTGCCTTAAAGACCGAGACGAGACCGAGTCCAAGCGCCTTAAAGACCGAGACGAGACCGAGTCCAAGTGCCTTAAAGACCGAGACAAGACCGAGTCCAAGCGCCTTAAAGACCGAGACGAGACCGAGTCCAAGCGCCTTAAAGACCGAGACGAGACCGAGTCCAAGCGCCTTAAAGACCGAGACGAGACTGAGTCCAAGCGAATATCAAGACCTCACTTTCCCCCCATTAACCAATTTTCTGCGGGAAACACTTGACTTTCAGTGACACATCCAGGATTTAGGCTTTGTTATTCACTGAACCGTATCGAATTGACTTGAAATATCAAATCGTATTGGACTGAAAGTGCTCTGTGTAAAGTGTAACGTATCATGGTGTGTATCGTATCGGCTTCTTAATGATCCCCGTCTCTACTCTTCACCCCAGTTTCACTTAAAAATCTGTCCACACCAGCAAAACGTCTGAGAGGTCAAATTAAAGTTAATGAAGAGACTTTGTGCTCGTCTCCGGTTAAACCAGATCTGATCCGGGAGCGTACAGTTCTCAGTTTGTGTTTGTGTTTCCCGTTCGTTCAGTCTAATCATTACGATCGATGGATGTTTCCGGTCTGTTTGCTCCGTGGATCCAGCCGCACTAATTCCCCTGAGGATTAAACAGAATTCCCAGAGCAGTCGCTGGGAATGACGCCATGGAGCGAGTTTAAAAGAGAAATCCCAGAGTACGGATCAGAGTAAATCCTGTCTGCACAATTGTTCTGCTCCATCTGACCTCTGCTCCATCTGACCCTCCCCTCTGACCCTCCCCTCTGACCTTCTACTCTGACTCTGTTTCTCTAACCCTCTCCTCTGCTCCATTTAACCTTGTTCTCTGCTCCTCTGACCCTCTTCCTCTCCTCTGCTCCATCTGACCCTTTCCTCTGACCCTCATCTCCCCCTCTGCTCTCATTTTCTGCTCCATTTGACCTTCTGCTCCTCTCCTCTAACCCTCTCGTCCACCTGACCCTCTCCTCTTCTGACCCTCTCACCCTCTCCTCTTCTCCTCTCCTCACCTCCTCTGCTCTATCTGACCTTCTCCTCTGCTTTTCTCCTCTCCTCCTCCCCTCTGCTCTCTCCTCTTCTCGTCCAAACAGATCTCCAAACCTTTGACCTTGTGACCTTGTGGCGGTGTGAGCTGTACCTGACACGGAGCCTGTTTTCCCGGGGTCCTCTCGAGTCTGGACGGGACGCCGAGCTCCATCTGCGCCTTCAAAATAAAAGCACATGGTTCACGGACACGGCCCAGGTTCCTCTCTCTCTCTGTGCTGGTCACGTGGATTTGTTTGGTCATTTTTACACTTTGGGGTTAATCCTGCTGTAGGTGGTGAGGTGGTGTCGTGGTTTGAGGGAGTGTGAGGGTGTGTAGGAGGTGTGTGAGGGTGTGTGAGGGAGTGTGAGGGAGTGTGAGGGTGTGTGGGGAGGTATGTGAGGGAGTGTGTGGGAGTGTGAGGGTGTGTGAGGGAGTGTGAGGGTGTGTGAGGGAGTGTGAGGGTGTGTAGGAGGTGTGTGAGGGTGTGTTGAGGGTGTGTTGAGGAAGTGTGAGGGTGTGTGAGGGTGTGTGAGGGAGTGTGAGGGAGTGTGAGGGTGTGTGAGGGTGTGTGAGGGAGTGTGAGGGAGTGTGAGGGAGTGTGTGTGAGGGACTGTGAGGGAGTGTGTGTGAGGGACTGTGAGGGAGTGTGTGTGAGGGAGTGTGTGTGAGGGAGTGTGAGGGAGTGTGTGTGAGGGAGTGTGAGGGTGTGTGAGGGGTGTGTGAGGGTGTGTGAGGGACTGTGAGGGTGTGTGAGGGAGTGTGTGAGGGTGGTGTGAGGGTGTGTGAGGGAGTGTGAGGGAGTGTGAGGAGTGTGTGTGTGAGGGACTGTGAGGGTGTGTGAGGTGTGTGAGGGAGTGTGAGGGAGTGTGTGTGAGGGAGTGTGAGGGAGTGTGTGTGTGAGGGAGTGTGAGGGTGTGTGAGGGTGTGTGAGGGTGTGTGAGGGACTGTGTGAGGGAGTGTGTGTGAGGGAGTGTGAGGGAGTGTGAGGGAGTGTGAGGGTGTGAGGGTGTGTGTGAGGGAGTGTGAGGGAGTGTGTGTGAGGGAGTGTGAGGGAGTGTGAGGGTGTGTGAGGGTGTGTGAGGGAGTGTGAGGGAGTGTGAGGGAGTGTGTGTGAGGGACTGTGAGGGAGTGTGTGTGAGGGAGTGTGAGGGTGTGTGAGGGTGTGTGAGGGAGTGTGTGTGAGGGAGTGTGTGTGAGGAGTGTGTGTGAGGGAGTGTGAGGGAGAGTGTGAGGGGAGTGTGTGTGGAGGGTGTGAGGGAGTGTGTGAGGGTGTGTGAGGGAGTGTGTGAGGGAGTGTGAGGGAGTGTGTGTGTGAGGGAGTGTGAGGGAGTGTGAGGGAGTGTGAGGGAGTGTGAGGGAGTGTGTGTGAGGGAGTGTGTGAGGTGTGAGGGTGTGTGTGGGTGTGTGTGTGAGGGAGTGTGAGGGTGTGTGTGAGGAGTGTGTGTGAGGGTGTGTGAGGGAGTGTGTGAGGGAGTGTGTGTGAGGGAGTGGTGTGTGAGGGTGTGAGGGAGTGTGTGAGGGTGTGTGAGGAGTGTGTGTGAGGGTGTGGTGTGAGGGATGTGAGGGTGTGTGAGGGAGTGTGTGTGAGGGTGTGTGTGTGGAGGGTGTGTGAGGGAGTGTGTGTGAGGGAGTGTGTGTGAGGGTGTGTGAGGGAGTGTGAGGGAGGTGTGAGGTGTGTGTGTGAGGGTGTGTGTGAGGGAGTGTGTGTGAGGGAGTGTGTGAGGGTGTGAGGGATGTGTGAGGGTGTGTGAGTGTGTGTGTGAGGGAGTGTGTGTGAGGGAGTGTGTGTGAGGGTGTGAGGGTGTGTGAGGGTGTGTGAGGGTGTGTGAGGGTGTGTGAGGGTGTGAGGGTGTGAGGAGTGTGAGGGTGTGTGAGGGTGTGTGAGTGAGTGTGTGTGAGGGAGTGTGAGGGAGTGTGAGGGTGTGTGAGGGTGTGTGAGGGTGTGTGTGAGTGTGTGTGAGGAGTGTGTGTGAGTGAGGTGTGAGGGTGTGTGAGGGTGTGTGAGGGAGTGTGAGGGAGTGTGAGGGTGTGTGAGGGTGTGTGTGAGGGAGTGTGTGAGGGAGTGTGTGGGAGTGTGTGTGAGGAGGTGTGTGAGGGAGTGTGTGTGAGGGTGTGTGAGGGTGTGTGAGGGAGTGTGTGTGTGTGAGGGAAGTGTGAGGGAGTGTGTGTGTGAGGGAGTGTGAGGGAGTGTGTGTGTGTGAGGGTGTGTGAGGGTGTGTGAGGGAGTGTGTGTGAGGGTGTGTGAGGGTGTGTGTGTGAGGGAGTGTGAGGGAGTGTGTGTGAGGGAGTGTGTGTGAGGTGTGTGTGTGAGGGAGTGTGTGTGAGGGAGGTGAGGGAGTGTGAGGGAGGGAGTGTGTGTGAGGGTGTGTGAGGGTGTGTGAGGGTGTGTGAGGGTGTGAGTGTGTGAGAGTGTGTGTGAGGGAGTGTGAGGGTGTGTGAGGGTGTGTGTGAGGGAGTGTGTGAGGGAGTGTGTGTGAGGGTGTGTGAGGGAGGGAGTGTGTGTGAGGTGTGTGAGGGTGTGAGGGAGTGTGAGGGTGTGGTGAGGGTGTGTGAGGGTGTGTGTGGGTGTGTGTGGGAGTGTGTGTGAGGGTGTGTGTGTGTGAGGGTGTGTGAGGGAGTGTGTGTGAGGGTGTGTGAGGGAGTGTGTGAGGAGTGTGTGAGGGTGTGTGTGTGAGGGAGTGTGTGTGAGGGTGTGTGAGGGGTGTGAGGTGTGTGAGGGAGGGAGTGTGTGAGGGTGTGTGTGGGAGTGTGTGTGAGAGGGTGTGTGAGGGTGTGTGAGGGTGTGTGAGGGAGTGTGAGGAGGGAGTGTGTGTGAGGGTGTGTGAGGGAGTGTGAGGGAGTGTGAGGGTGTGTGTGTGAGGGTGTGTGAGGGTGTGTGAGGGAGTGTGAGGGTGTGTGAGGGTGTGTGAGGGTGTGTGAGGGTGTGTGTGAGGAAGTGTGTGTGTGAGGGGAGTGTGAGGGTGTGAGGAGTGGTGTGTGTGGGAGTGGTGTGGGAGTGTGTGTGAGGGTGTGTGAGAGGGTGTGTGTGAGGGTGTGTGAGGGAGTGTGTGTGTGGTGAGAGGGTGTGAGGGTGTGTGTGAGGGTGTGTGAGGGTGTGAGGGTGTGTGAGGGTGTGAGGGTGTGTGAGGGAGTGTGAGGGAGTGTGTGTGTGAGGGTGTGTGAGGGTGTGTGAGGGTGTGTGTGAGGGAGTGTGAGGGAGTGTGAGGGAGTGTGTGTGAGGTGTGTGAGGAGTGTGTGAGGGGTGAGGGAGTGTGTGAGGGTGTGAGGTGAGTGTGGTGTGTGAGGGAGTGTGAGGGAGTGTGTGTGAGGGAGTGTGAGGGAGTGTGTGTGAGGGTGTGTGAGGGTGAGTGTGAGGGAGTGTGGTGTGAGGGTGTGTGAGGGAGTGTGAGGGAGTGTGTGAGGGAGTGTGTGAGGGAGTGTGTGTGAGTGTGTGTGAGGGTGTGTGAGGGAGTGTGTGGGAGTGTGTGTGAGGGTGTGTGAGGGAGTGTGAGGGAGTGTGAGGGAGTGTGAGGGTGTGTGAGGGAGTGTGTGAGGGTGTTGAGGGAGTGGTGTGTGAGGGAGTGTGAGGGAGTGTGAGGGAGTGTGTGTGAGGGTGTGTGAGGGAGTGTGTGGGAGTGTGTGTGGGAGTGTGTGTGTGAGGGTGTGTGAGGGAGTGTGAGGGAGTGTGAGGGAGTGTGAGGAGTGTGAGGGAGTGTGTGTGTGTGAGGGTGTGTGAGGGTGTGTGAGGGAGTGTGTGAGGGAGTATGAGGGAGGTGTGTGAGGGTGTGTGAGGGAGTGTGTGTGAGGGTGTGTGAGGGAGTGTGTGAGGGTGTGTGAGGGAGGTGAGGGAGTGAGGGAGTGTGTGTGGGGAGGGAGGTGTGTGAGGGTGTGTGGGGAGTGTGTGAGTGTGTGTGAGGGAGGTGTGTGAGGGTGTGTGGGGAGGTGTGTGAGGGTGTGTGAGGGTGTGTGTGTGTGAGGGAGGTGTGTGAGGGTGTGTGAGGGAGTGTGTGTGAGGGAGTGTGTGTGTGGGGAGGTGTGTGAGGGTGTGTGAGGGAGGTGTGTGAGTGTGTGTGGGGAGGTGTGTGAGGGTGTGTGAGGGAGTGTGTGTGAGGGAGTGTGTGTGGGGAGGTGTGTGAGGGTGGTGTGAGGGAGTGTGTGTGAGGGAGTGTGTGTGAGGGTGTGTGAGGGTGTGTGAGGGAGTGTGAGGGAGTGTGAGGGAGTGTGAGGGAGTGTGTGTGAGGGTGTGTGAGGGAGTATGAGGGAGGTGTGTGAGGGTGAGGGAGTGTGTGAGGGAGGTGTGTGAGGGTGTGTGAGGGAGGTGTGTGAGGGTGTGTGAGGGAGGTGTGTGAGGGTGTGTGAGGGAGTGTGTGTGGGGAGTGTGTGGAGGTGTGTGAGGGTGTGTGAGGGAGGGAGTGTGTGTGAGGGTGTGTGTGTGGGGAGGTGTGTGTGGGGGTGTGTTGAGGGTGTGTGAGGGTGTGTGTGAGGGAGTGTGTAGGGTGAGGGAGTGTGTGTGGGAGGTGTGTGAGGGTGTGTGAGGGAGGGTGTGTGAGGGTGTGTGAGGGAGTGTGTGTGGGGAGGTGTGTGAGGGTGTGTGAGGGAGTGTGTGTGAGGGTGTGTGAGGGAGTGTGTGTGGGGAGGTGTGTGAGGGTGTGTGTGAGGGAGTGTGTGTGAGGGTGTGTGAGGGAGTGTGTGTGAGGGTGTGTGAGGGAGTGTGAGGGAGTGTGTGTGAGGGAGTGTGAGGGAGTGTGTGTGAGGGAGTGTGTGTGAGGTGTGTGTGTGAGGGAGTGTGTGAGGGAGTGTGTGTGAGGGAGTGTGAGGGAGTGTGAGGGAGGTGTGTGAGGGAGGTGTGTGAGGGAGGTGTGTGTGAGTGTGTGTGAGTGAGTGTGTGTGAGGGAGTGTGTGTGAGGGAGTGTGTGTGTGGGGTCAGAGTGTGTGAGGGAGAGTGTGTGTGAGGGTGTGTGAGGGTGTGTGAGGGAGTGTGTGTGAGGGGTGTGTGTGTGAGGGTGTGTGAGGGAGTGTGAGGGAGTGTGAGGGAGTGTGAGGAGTGTGTGTGAGGGTGTGTGTGTGTGAGGGTGTGTGAGGGAGTGTGTGAGGGAGTGTGTGTGAGGGTGTGTGAGGGTGTGAGGGAGTGTGTGAGGGTGTGAGGGTGTGTGAGGGTGTGTGAGGTGTGTGAGGTGTGTGAGGGAGTGTGAGGGTGTGTGAGGGAGTGTGTGAGGGAGTGTGAGGGAGTGTGTGTGAGGGGTGTGTGAGGAGTGTGTGAGGGTGTGTGAGGGAGTGTGTGTGAGGGAGTGTGTGAGGGGTCAGTGTGTGTGAGTGTGAGGGAGTGTGTGAGGGAGTGTGTGTGAGTGTGTGTGAGGGAGTGTGTGTGAGGGAGTGTGTGAGGGAGTGTGTGTGGGGTCAGAGTGTGTGAGGGAGTGTGTGTGTGTGTGAGTGTGTGTGAGGGTGTGTGTGTGAGGGAGTGTGTGTGGGGTCAGAGTGTGGTGTGTGTGTGGGGTGTGTGAGGGTGTGTGAGGGTGTGTGTGTGAGGGAGTGTGTGTGGGGTCAGAGTGTGTGAGGGAGTGTGTGTGTGGGGTCAGAGTGTGTGAGGGAGTGTGTGTGTGGGGTCAGAGTGTGTGTGTGAGGGAGTGTGTGTGGGGTCAGAGTGTGTGTGTGTGTGTGAGGGAGTGTGTGTGGGGTCAGAGTGTGTGTGTGAGGGAGTGTGTGTGGGGTCAGAGGTGTGGTGTGAGGGAGTGTGTGTGTGTGTGTGTGAGTGTGTGTGTGAGGAGGTGTGTGAGGGTGTGTGTGAGGGGAGGTGTGTGAGTGAGGGTGTGTGTGGGAGTGTGTGTGAGGGTGTGTGTGTGAGTGTGTGTGTGTGTGAGTGTGTGTGAGGGAGTGTGTGAGTGTGTGTGTGAGGGAGTGTGTGTGTGTGTGAGTGTGTGTGTGTGTGTGTGTGAGTGGTGTGTGAGGGAGTGTGTGTGGGGTCAGAGTGTGTGAGGGAGGTGTGTGTGTGGGGTCAGAGTGTGTGAGGGATGTGTGTGTGGGGGTCAGAGTGTGTGAGGGAGTGTGTGTGTGTGGGGTGTCAGAGTGTGTGAGGGAGTGTGTGTGGGGTCAGAGTGTGTGAGGGAGTGTGTGTGTGTGGGGTCAGAGTGTGTGAGGGAGTGTGTGTGTGTGGGGTCAGAGTGTGTGAGGGAGTGTGTGTGGGGTCAGAGTGTGTGAGGGAGTGTGTGTGTGTGGGGTCAGAGTGTGGTGAGGGAGTGTGTGTGTGGGGTCAGAGTGTGTGAGGGAGGTGTGTGTGTGGTGGTCAGAGTGTGTGAGGGAGTGTGTGTGGGGTCAGAGTGTGTGAGGGAGTGTGTGTGTGTGGGGTCAGAGTGTGTGAGGGAGTGTGTGTGTGTGGGGTCAGAGTGTGTGAGGGAGTGTGTGTGTGTGGGGTCGAGTGTGTGAGTGTGAGTGTGTGTGTGTGGGGTCAGAGTGTGTGAGGGAGTGTGTGTGGGGTCAGAGTGTGTGTGTGAGTGTGTGTGTGTGGGGTCAGAGTGTGTGAGGGAGTGTGTGTCAGTGTGTGAGTGTGTGTGGTGTGTCAGAGTGTGTGAGGAGTGTGTGTGTGTGAGTGTGTGTGGGGTCAGAGTGTGTGAGGGAGTGTGTGTGGGGTCAGAGTGCCGGTACCGTGGGGGGAGAGGGTCTGGGTTTCCGGGTCGGGGAGGCGGTGGGTTTTCCGTACGGTTTTTGAGCGTCTCTTCGCTCCGTCACGTGGTTTTTCCTGGGGCTCCTCCTGCTGCCGGAGACGCCACAGCGGACGAAGCTGCACACACACACACACAGACACACACACACACACACACACACACACACACACAGAGACACACACACACACACACACACACAGACACACACACACACACACACACACACACACACAGAGACACACACACACACACACACACACACAGAGACACACACACACACACACAGACACACACACACACACACACACACACAGAGACACACACACACACAGAGACACACAAACACACAAACACACACGGTCACTCTCGCATGACAAAAACCAATAATAATAATAATAATAATAATAATAATAATAATGATGATGATTTCCCTCGTGGGTGAGTTATGTTTGTTAAGTCTGAGACGAGACGAGGCACAAGACTGAGCCCACGAGAACAACACCAGATCTGATTCAATTAACAAAAGTGCCGTTCAGCTCAAAATTTGGTTGTTTTTAATTTACTGTTTTTAACGACAGAAGTGTTCATGTTGTTCATGTTCATGTCAGTGGGACATTAAGGCATTAATTACGATTGATTAATTGAACCGTGTTTAATACATTATTTTCTTTTAAACTCTTTTTCAGTCACAGAATTTCAAAACTTTTCCATGACTTTACGACACCTACATGTGTAGAACTGATCAGACTTTTAGGTCTAAATCTGAAACGTGAACTCTTTCCACTCACCTTATGTTTGGGATTATAGTTTTTGAACTTTCTAAATCCTGTCAGTGCGTTTATTGTCGTTTCTTTTAAAATATAAGGTGCAGAAGTTCACAGATAATCAGGACTGAACAGAACACTGGAGAAAAAGATACTACAATTCCATGACTTTTGCAGGTCTGGAAAATGACATTTTCAATGTCCACGACTTTTCCAGGATTTACATGACTGCAGGAACCCTGATATATAAAAATATTAATGTATTTTAATCGCAGTCTGACAAACAAAGTGTGACAATTCTCCCGACACACACAGTTCTGACAACGACAGTGGAGCAGGAGAGTCTGGTTCTGCAGGACAAGACATTTATATAAAAAAAATAACCTGATGGAAAAACTGACAAAGGCGTCGTTCATCTCAAACTGTGCAAAAAAAAGAGTTTCACGTCACAGAAGCTCCTCATGAAAAACTTTAAATGTAAAACATGTGACAGAACAAAACGTGTGGAGCCGTCACATGTTCTGGTGCAGTTCTGCTCCGAGCACAAACGAGAAAAAACAAACTCCAACACAAGACGAACTACAGGAACAAAATGAGTAAATGAGCTAAATATTGTTCAATTAATTGAGATTAATTAAGCCTGTAATTAATTAGATTATTTTTTAATCAAGTCCCACTCCTAATAAAAACATTTGGATTGAACAAAAATGTAAATGGGGAAATCTGGTCTCCAGTCACCAGCCCAACAGAGCTTTAGCTTTAGGTGCAACTGTAATCCTCTTTATTCCTGCTTTAAACTTGATTTTAAGTTTATTCCTGCGTTCGACCTGAAGTGATGAAGCTGTAAAGTCTTTTTCATGGACAAAACACATTTTTCCTCCAACAAAACAAAAGCACAAACAGATCTCAGACCTTCTGTATCAAGCTGTGATTTTATATTTTATTTACTTATCTTTTTTTTTATTTTGACTTGTACATTTGCATTTATATAATTATGTCTTATTTCATGTGTCTCTTGCTCTTTATTTTTACTACTTATTTAAAATGTATTGGTAAATGGTCACATTTTTCTAAAGCGCTTTTCCACCTTCAAGGCCAAAGCACTTTAAGAGAAGGAACCACTCACACACACACACACGCACTCGCACACACACTCGCACACACTCGCTCACACTCGCTCACACACTCTCACACACACTCTCGCACGCACTCGCACGCACTCGCACGCACTCGCACGCACTCGCACGCACACGCACTCGCACGCACTCGCACACACACGCACTCACACACTCTCACACACTCTCACACACTCTCACACACTCTCACACACTCTCACACACTCTCACACACTCACACACACTCACACACACTCACACACACTCTCACACACTCACACCAGTGCACACAGACACTGGGGTCTGTTAAGTGTCTTGCCCAAGGACACATCGACAGCATTCATCTGTGGGAGCTGGACTCACACTGTGGGTCAGTGGATCTGACGCTCAACCAAAGATGTTTTTTATGTCAAGAGCGGGATTTGAACCGCCAACCTTCAGATCAGTGGGCGAACGCTCGAGCGACTGAGCTGCTGCCGTCCTTTTTATATCGTTTTACTCTTTGTTATAATATTTTACTGTGACGTGTGACTCCTGAGTCCAGATCATTTCTCTGAGTACGACTCTGTAACCGCCTAAAATTGTGTTGTGCGTTTTTTTTTAAATCTAATAAAACTGTTTTTCAGAGGCTTGTGTGGGTCGGTGTCGTCGTTGGTTGCCGTGGGTTACCTGGGCGCCACAGCCGGGAGCGAGTCCATCAAACCGGTCTGGGGGCGGGGCTCGGCGGGGAGGGTCAGCATCCCTGAGCTGAGAGCGGGACTAAACAACAGACCAGAGACAAAACAAGAGAAGAAAAGATGAGAACAACACAAACAGAAGAAAATAGGAGTAAAAATGAGCCCGCCAAAATATATAACACAAACAAAAATACAGGAAGTAAGAGACCGCCACGATAAAAGTGAAAACACTAGAATCAGACACAAACACAGAAACAGAGCATTATAAACCAGAGCATAAGAAAAGAGAGATTTATATGATAAAAAAAAAAAAATATATATATATATATATATATATATATATAAAATTCAGCATTTGTAAATGTTTTGATTTGAGATAAACTGACACAGAGCTGCACAATTGTGGAAACAAATCATGATCACGATTATGTTGGTCAATATTGAATCACGATTATTCAAACGATACACGATGCTTTTACTCAGCATTTCTCTCTCAAGGGACAAAAGTTTTGCTGCAATATTTATGTTCACAGCTTTGGTTTTTTAGTAATATTTGTTAAAATTGTGACATTTTAAGTGATTTTAAATGAATACAGCGAATGTTTCCTTCACAACGCCTCAAACCCACATAAACTCACACTGGGATGTTTTTACTGTCACTTTCTGCAAAAATGTCTTGAATTTTTTGAAAAATTGTAAACAAAAACATTCTGAATTCCAGAATGGGGGTGGCTGGAGGCAAAAGTGAAGTGGGATTCATGTCAGAATATCACAAAATATTAAAAATTAAGGACAATCTGGAAAATGAAAAGTGCTCAGACACGTGAGAAAGATCAGAGTCTGGTTTAAAAACACTTACAAATGTGTTTTACAGGATTTGTTGATTTACAAAGGAGGTTATGATAAACGTTTAGTATTTTAACAAAGATAAAATCCACATTTTGAAGTTTTACTGGACAAACTGTGACAGAAATGTTGAGCCCATAACAGTTTTTCACTTCATCTTAGAGTCGCTCGATTAGGGAAAATAATCATGATCATGATTATTTTGGTCAATATTGATGAATATTAAATATTATGATTATTTTTTAGTTACACGATGCATTTATTATTATTTTTTCTCTCTCTCAAAAAAAAAAACTAAAACTTTGTTATTGCTAATTAAGCAAAACTTTCAAATTGAAAATAAATATATCGGGACATATCTGAACCTTAGATCAGTTTTATGATATATAAAACATAAAATGAATAAAATAAACTTTGAACATGAAATAAGGCAGAAAAACATAAATATATACACACAATAAACTCTATATCCAGCTCTTCTATAAACTTTAAACTTTCATTTCAACTCAACTATTTGAGTTTGGAGATCATTTGAGACACTAATGGAAATCGGGATCAAAATTGAATTAATGGCACAGACTTCGAGAAACATTTGTCATCAGGTCTCAGTCTTAAATCTCACATTAGTTCAGATGTTTCTTTAGTTTGGTTCGACCTGCTGCAAAAACAATCCACAGAAACATTTATTTGAACACTTCAGTGTAAAAGAGAAAACTGCACAAAAACACGCCTGCGGCTCTCAGGTCCAGTCTGAGGTAAAACGAGGCTCTGGAAGTTTGTGGTGAATTTAAATTTTATCACATCGTTCCAAAAAGCAGAGTTCACGGGCCGTCGGTCGCTCTGAGTCTGGAATCTAAACAAAAGCTTCAGCATCAGTCATGAAAAAAAACACTAAAAACATCTCGTACAACAGTTTCCCAGATATAAATATTCTTTAAAAAAAACAAGCTGGACAAAAATCTCCTTAAAAGTGAATTCACTGTGTCACTTTTTGTTTGGGCGTCCGTCACCTGCGCGTTTCTCTGCCCTGGAATGTTCCACAGTGTGACTTTAAACAGATCCGCCTCACAGTTGTTCAGTCACGGGTGGATTTGAGGCTCAAAAACACCAAGAAAAACAGGTATTTCTGAGGCAACACACCTTTAAAAAGAGATAATTGATGTAAACTTACAAGTTAGAGTTTGAATCATCACAAAAATAGTGACAGGAGGAGCAGTCGGAGAGACGCTGGTGCAAAAATAATCACTATATCCACTTATTTATCGTTACATGAGAGATGGAGGAGATATTTGGGCTCCGTGTTTATTTCTTTGCATTCGTGGAGAGACTTGTGTTATTTTAGTTGTTGTAAAAAAGGATTTAAGCTGTAAAAGGTTAAAAAAGTGTCTGCTTCTGCTTGACTCTGCGCTCTGTCCATTTAAAACGTGTTTACTGGGATTCTCCTGGGGTTTTATTAACATAATGTTGGTGTAAAAACAGTGGAAGCACCGAGATTACGAGAAAAACATGGCTGTAAATTTAAGCATTTCTCAAAACATTATAAAATCAAACCAAATATATTCACCAAACCACGACGTAACAGCTGTAACCGTCACAAGTCTGGGTTTTGGAGAGAATTTAACTCAAAATTCAAGACATTTTCGCAGAAAGTGACGGTAAAAACTAGAGCCCGACAGATATATCGGGTTTCAGAAATCTGCGTGTGCAAAGGAGAGAAAAAACCTGCAGGTTTGTCTGGAGTTCAGCATAAAATAAATAAACCAGGACTAATGTTGGGCTCCAGAGACAGAGAGAGACAGAGACCTAGTCCAGACACTCAGTCCTGGTTTAGTCCTGGTTCAGTCCTGTTTTACACATGGGTTAGATCTGGTTTAGTCCTGATTCAGTCCTGGTTTAGACCTGGTTTAGTCCTGGTTTAGACCTGATTCAGTCCTGGCTCAGTCCTGGTTTAGTC